AGCACATCTAACCACCTGAGCCAAATGAGCATGGGGCCATTAGCTGGTACAGAGTAGCTACTCGACAAACACTGGCTGAATTTTACTCAGCTGTCAGAAGTAGTTGGACTAACTTTAAAGTTACCTGTTGAAAAGTCCTTTGGCTCCTCCAATATAAGTAACAGCTATGAAATTTTGATAAGCAAAGTATACCTAAATAAACTGAACAGCAGTGGCATGTTCTGGAGTCTCCAGTGGAAGATGGTTTGAAACATTATGTACAGAGTCATGATTAAAAGTTCTCATTCCCCTAATTAGGGGGACCTATGCATTTGAAATCATATGCAACATAACTAGTGCTGCGTCAATTGAGCCACACCTTCAGCTAGGCTTTTTGCTGTTTCATGTGTCTTTTGGTCGTGGGGCTTGAACTCTGGGCCTGGGCGCTGTCCCTGCACTCTTCAGCTCAAGGCAAGTGCTCTACCTCTACCTCTTGAGCACCGCTCCCGGTTTTCTAGTAGGTTTTTTTTTTTTTTTTTTTATTGGAGATCAGAGTCTCATGGACTTTTCTGCCTGGGCTGGCTTTGAATAATGATCCTCAGACCTCAGGCTCCTTAGTAGCTAGGATTACAGGCATGAGCCAATGGCGCCTGGCTGCTGGTTATTATTGAGATGGGACTGTCTCAGGCTTTTCTGCCTAGGTTGGCTTTGAACCTTGATCCTCCTGATCACAGCCTCTTGAACAGCTGGGATCACAGGTGCCTTAATAAGAGAGTTGACTTTTTATATTCATTTCCCAAAGAATCACAACTTTCATCAAGTTATTAAAATCTCTACAAGCCAAAAAAAAATTAAGAACCACTGTTGATGAATGAGATTCCAATAGTTGCACAGATTGCTTAATTTACTTTTCCTCCAGTCTTTGAAAGCCAGCTGGAAAAGGAGCATTCCCCAAGCTTAAATCCTTCTAATACTCACTAGCAGCTCTTTGGAGCCATGCTATTTCATTAGTTAAAGGAACTATATAAATACAGACACTTGGGAAGGGGGTGGCTGTGCAAGTATATTGCCTCTCAGGGGCTCTTCTTCCCGTGAGCTTCCTTTTCCTGGTCCTTGGGATCCATTGCAGGTGGCCATAACGGTAGAGTCCCACAGCAGGGAGAGGAACCACATGCAGAGAAGACGAAAGTTAAGTTCTGGGGCTTATTGCAGAGGCCGAGGCTGGCTTGACTGAGAAATCCTCTAAGTCCCTGGGTGCCTTTGGTAGCAGAAAGCCTGCCTCCTGACGTATCAGGACTTCAGTGCAGTGGGAAGATGCTTATTCCCTAGCCTGCCATCCTTGGAATGCCCACGACACAGCTGGAAGGCAGAGTCCTGGCTAGCAGTGTTCACTCTGTCCCGGGGCCCGCAGACATTAGATCTCCGCAAGCTGATGAGCAGCGGCTGCAAGTGGAGGCTTCATCTTCTTTCCTGGAGTCTGAAAGAATTTTTATGCTCTGATGTTGCTCATAAATTCTTGACTCCCCAGGAGAAGCCTTCATAGAAGATGCTTAGCCTCAGATTCAAAGATGCCATGAACCCCTACTATATATACAAAATGGCATTTTTTTTTCTTCTGGGAAGGGGCTCTTGACTTTCAGCATTCTGCAATGGGCTATGACGTCTCCAAAAGGTTCAGGAACTACTGTACCTTTAGGAGTATAGATCACTTTGAGGTAGACTGCATTTAAGAAGGTGAAAGGAAGTCCTAGTGACATAGGTATATTGTCCTGAAACCTGATTTTTTTCTTATTTTCTTTTTTTCAATCATGGGGCTTGAACTTGGCCTGGGCACTGCCCGTCAGCTCTTCAGCTTAAGGCGAGCGCTCTACCACTTGAGCCACAGAGCCACTTCCGGTTTTGAGTGATTTATTGGAGGTAAGAGTCTCAGAGACTTTCCTGCCCGGGTGGCTTTGAACCTGATCCTCAGATCTCAGCCTCCTGAGTAGCTGGGATTGCAGGTGTGAGCCACCAGTGCCCAGCTTTATTACTTCTTTTTTGACAGTACTGGGAATTGAATTCACTGGCCTCATACTTGCTGAGTATGTGCTCTATTGCTTGAGTCATGTCTCCACACACTTTTGCCTTGTTTTTAAGAATCTTGCTTTATGCATGGGACAGCCTGGACTGTTACCCTCCTACTCAGGCTTACGTGCCATTGAGGACAACAGGAATGGGCTACCCTGCCCAGACACTGGTTGAGATAGAGTTCTGTCAACATTTTTGCCAGGCTAGTCTCCAACCACCATCCCCTGATCTCCATTACCTGAGTAGCTAGGGTTACAGGCTTGAGCAATCATGCCTGGCCAAATCCATGTTGAAAATAAAACAAAACTTCTCAGCCAAAGTTAACTAGAGTCAATCTACCCATTAGACAGACATGTATGTGCGCATACACACGCACACATGTGCATGCTTACGCATGCGTGTGCACATGCGCGCGCGTGCACACACACACACACACACACACACACACCAACACCATACAGAGTTTTTCACTGGTCTTTGTTTTGAAAGAAAAGCAAATTATTCTGAAGAGGAGTCCTGCGTAGAACTGACACTGATTTTTTTTTTTCCAATAAGAAAATGCCAGGCAACAAAGTTAGGTTTTAGAGTATTTTAATATCCATTTCTTCAGTGGATGCATTTTGAAATTCTTAGAATTAACAATTTAAAAAGAGCAGAGCAAAAGAAACATGGAAAATGCAAATAGTTGGCTCTTACTAATTTCAGATTGTAGGCATTATGTAATTTTCAAAACAACCAATCAAAACAAAATGCTTACCTCAGAAAAAAATCTAGAAATTCAAATGCAGACATATCTTTGGAAACTACGATTGATTACAGCCCAGGTAATGGCCGCGCACTGCCTTTGGCTTTCTGTGTCATGTGCAAATGTGCAGGTGTAGTCCCTGCAAGGGACGTCAGCGTCGAAGGAGCCATGCGCAGGTGTGGCACAATCTGTGGGACTCGCCAAGCGACTTTAGGGTTTGGAACGGATGCTCTACATTTGTGGGCGTTCGGTAAAACGATTGATGTGTGCTTGTTGATCATTACAGATGTATAAAATTTGATCTGAGCTGGGGCCAAGAGAAAAGAGCAATTGCAAAGCAACTATTTACACACATTCAATTCTGAAGTATTGCTTCCTGCCCTAGGCTCCTAAGAAGTATTGCCACCTGCAGGGTGCCTCCCTCCCAAAGACAAACGCTTGAGCCCACTGCCCGTCTGTCTCCAGCAAGCACTGCATGTCACTGTCAGCAGACTGAGATGCCCGGCAGGTGTGCCATGGAGATTCTGTGGTTCTGTGTTGAGGTATGCTTCGGAGCAGGGAGCTGGGAAAGCCCCGAGGGAACAAGAGAACGTCTGTACTGGTTCTTTAGGAAGGCTCAGGGTGTTCTGAAAGACCATACACACTCTGTGTGAGCTGCCCTTTTTGGGGGGCTCCATTTGCACATTTCTGAACAGGACCCCATTGGCTGACAGCTCTGGGGTCCTGCAGGAAGGGGGCAATCGTAAACACCTTTGCAGTAGGGGAAGAAAAACAGTCTGAAGGGGAATCCTATGCAGAGATAGACTTGGAAGAGCCCATTTTGAGCAAGATATTAGTGGCATCAGCAGCCAGCCCCTCAAAGCGACACAGCCCAGAGGTGGACAGAGGACAGACAGATATTCAGAGATACACCTTTAATACTGACAGGAGGAAACCCAGCATGCTCACAACCCCGAGTACAAGGAAAGCATCAGGTAGTGTTTTTTCGTTCTCTTTTGGTGGTATTGAGGTTTGAACTCTGGTCCTCATGCTTGCTATAGATGGGTGCTCAGTGCTGAGCCAAACCTCCAGCTCAGGTAGTGTTTTTAAAGGGGCAAAAAAATATCTGTGGTGTTTTATAAGAATACATTCTTGAGAAGCAAGAGGTATTGTTACAGCCATCCTTTCTTCAGAGTTGGAAGACCAACAAACAAGTCAAACCTGAAGAAAAATCTTAAGTCAGTGAGAAAACTCTGGGTCCCAGATGGCCACGTGGCTGATGGCACCCCACACCTCCCCCAGGGAGGTGGCTGGCCAGAACGGAGATGGCATCATGCTGCACATAGAAGGTCCTGTCTGTCTTTGGGGAAGAGTGTTGAGGGGACTTACACAGATGTGGAAATCACACAGTGAGGTTTACCAGCGAAAGAGCACACGGAGGGGGTGAAGATCTCCAACAGCTGCAGGGCTAAACCTTGGTCATGTCAAGGGCGGAGCTGTCTGAATCACCTAAAAAATAACTACAACAGGACAACTGCAGACCGAGTTCCATTCAACAGAGGCTTCAGACTCACCATGGAAAACCACAATCACCAGCAATGATTGGCAATGAAGAACACAGACCTTATCCTTAGGTCTTTCTCCACCTCCCACTGGCTGGAGGCCCACTTTAGACAACGGCTCTACCTCTCTGTGCAGCTCACGAGATTAAATTCTGCCGCCAGTCAGCCATGCATAGAAGCCAAGACAACCCTTGAGGACCTGCTTTGAAGCTGGACCAGTTTTGCTCTGGTTTCCCACAAGGGGGAGCAAAAAACATGAAACAGGAAGAGACACTGGTCTGCCATGTCCTTTGCAAACCATCTTTCCCTAACCCCTGCCCCCCCCCCAAACCAGCCTATTTCCACTCACCGAAATGACCTGGCACCCCCTCCCCAAAACATACACATACGGATAAATAAATAAATAAATAAATGCAACCCTCAGACGTTTATTTTGAGTTTCTTCCTCAGACGAATCAGCTTCCAAAACACAAACACAAAAACAAAAAACAAGAACACCTTCACTCCTGACTGGAAGAGCCCTCCACAGAGGGTCAGGATGAGAAAAACCAAAACGGCTTTGAGATACCTGAGGCCTGGGTTTACAAGCTTTGTGCCCGGCGAGCATTTGAAATCTTGGCTAGTATGCGGGTGAATGCCTGAACCCGCAGGGTGCTGGGTGCGGGGAGGGGGGGGGGCAGGTGCCCGCGCCAGTGGGGAGGGGCTCTGCTCTCCTCTCCAATCCCCTCCTGGTGTATTACTGGCACTTTATGTCAGATTCATAAATGCAAGTGTATGTGTGTGCGTGTGCGTGTGTGCTTAGAAAGGCCAGGTAAGTGGGAAACATAAAGAGGAAAACAAACTCAGAAGCACTTTATGAGCACAAAAATAAAATAATAAAAGGGGTCTGTGAGGAAAGGCAGTAACAATGAAATCCTAACCACAGCGTGTCTCTCTCTCTATCTTTTAAGACGTCAAAGAATACCCAGAGCCATGATCTACCGGCAGCCTCAGTCCTGGACGAGGCCAAGGCCGACCCCTGAAGGCACTTGTTCTCTACGCGGCTAAACGGATCCCCCAATGGGGGCAGAATTCCAGGGAAGAGAGCAAAGGAAAGGAGAAATGGATGGAAAGGAACCCTGAATAACTGTGATCTACACAGAAGTTAGGGCTGAAATGACCACACCACAACCAGGGACAGAAACTGGGGCGCCTGGAAAGCACGACAGCCAGATACAAATATTATTGTGTTTCAATGAACAGAGCACCGAGCAGCCGCAGGCTGCCTCACACACTCTTTGAGACGTTGAGCTTGGTGAGCTCATTGGCTTCTTCCATTTCTGTGTCTTCACAGTCTTCCTTCTCTATGGCTTTGCCAGATCGACACCTTTCTTCAGCTTTGATGGGCTCCTTCCACAGTCTTTTTGAAGACAGATGCATGTCCTTGGCCTGCGTGTTGTCATCGGAGCCCAGGGACATCTTGTCCGAATACTGGACAGAAGGCACCAGATTGGCGATCTCATCGGTGGGGGACCGTCCGATGCTGCCGTCCACCTGGACGCGGATGTCCGGGGAGATGGACAGCTGGTGCTGCGGCACTATTCCATTGTCCATGCACTTTGGGTAGAGGTAGGTCTTCATCTGCCCCTTCCCCTTGACGTTCACGGTCCCGCGGTAGTCGAAGTCATAGCCCATCTTGCTCAGCACGCGGTAGCTCTCTTCACTCACCTGGATGCGGCATTCCACGCCGGTAGTGTCCATCCTGCTGGCAATGTTGACCGTGTCCCCCCAGATGTCATACAGCAGCTTGGTGGTGCCAATGACGCCAGCCGTGAGGGGGCCATGGTTAAAGCCCACCCTGAGCTTGAAGTTAAACCACAGCATGTTGTTGTTGAAGTCGTCCACCACACGCATCATCTCCCTGGCGAACTCGAACAGGATCCGCAGGTGCTCTTGGGGGTGGCCACCTTCCTGGCACTGGGCCGTGTTCAGCCCCGAGGCTGCCATATACGTGGCCCCAATGGTCTTGATTTTCTCGATGCTGTTGTAGTCTGGCTTGCTCAGGAGCTCGTCGAAGTCACCAATCAGCTCATTGAGGACGCGGTAGCACTCCTTGCCCCCTTCGTAGTTCTCCTCGTAGAACTCGCTGAAGTTGACGATGCTGGCGAAGATCACACCACCACTGTCGTGGTTCTTGGAGTAGGTCTGGGAGACCTTCAGCTGCTCGGCCACATGGTAGGGGATGATGTTCCTGAGTAGCCAGTCGGCCTGGTCCCTCATGCTCTGGATCTTGGTGCGGTGAAGATCCGCTTCCACGTCCCCGTGGTAGTGCAGCCGGTAGCTGACTTCAAACTCTCGGTTCAGGAACCAGACCAGCAGCAGCAGGAGGAAGAAGGCTAGGATGAGCTCCTTGCCTACGAGGCTGGCCGGCCTCCTGCTGTCCTGCAGCAGTGAGCTGTTGCACGGGCTCCTCTCGGCACTGCGGAGCAGAGAGACGAGAAAGGACAAGCCTGCTAAGTGCATCTGGTAAGGGAGGGGTGAACCCGCTGAGAGAGCCAGCAGAGAACCAGCACCCCGCCCCAGGTGAGACCAGTTCCATCCTCCATCCTCAGAAGGGACCAAGTAGACCATTTTTGTTTGCTTGGCTGCAGAGATGGAGCAGCAGACTGACTTCTGCGACTGGGACTTCAATCAGAGCTTTAGAAACGGCTTTAGAGGAGTCTTTAGCCACTGCAAGACTTTCACACCTTTTTCTTTTGACAATCTTAACTTTATAAAGTTAAAAGTCTGGTAAAATAAACACTCATAACCCTTTATGTGGGCTCCATAACTTGATATTTTACCTCTTTGCTTTTCTCTCTCAACACACATGTATGCACACACACATACATGGCTAAACATTTTTGGGGGCTGGTTGTGGGCTTGAACTCTGGGCTGGGCTGTCTCTCAGCTCTTCAGCTCAAGGTGAGCACTTTACCACTTGAGCCACAGCCACTTTTGGTTTTCTGGTGGTTAAATGGAAATAAGCGTCTCACAGACATTCCTGCCTGGGTGCTGTCCCTGAGCTTCTTTTGCTCAATGCTACCATTTTGCTTACTTGCACCACAGTGCCACTTCCAATTTTTTGAGTAGATTGTTGGAGATAAGAGTTTCACAGCCTTTCATCCTGGGCTGGCTTTGAACTGGATCCTCAGATCTCAGCCTCCCGAGTAGCTAGGATTTCAAGCATGAGCTACCAGCACCCAGCGTGTGTGTGTGTGTGTGTGTGTGTGTGTGTGTGTGTGTGTGTGTTAGGTTAGCTGAGGCTGTTATTTTCAGTGGCTGCCTGGTATTTTTGTTTTTTGTCAGTCGTGGGGCCTGAACTCTAGGCCTGGGCGCTGTCCTCAGCTCAAGGCTAGCATTCTACCACTTGAGCCACAGCACCACTTCTGGCTTATTTTGCTTATGTGGTGCTGAGGAATCAAACCCAGGGCCTCATGCATGCAAGGCAAGTGCTCTACCACTGAGCCACCTTCCCAGCCCATGCTGCCTGGTGTTCTAACAGATGATGCACCAGGTTCCGGGGGAGGGATGCTGGGCTGTATCCTCATCTTTTATGACCAGAAGCAGTGTTGCAATAGACATTCCTGAACCACTATCTTTGTGCTTATGGGGTTGCTGACTCATTTTAAATACTGCACACTTAGAATCTTATTAGAGATTTCCAAACTGTCCTACGAGGCTGAACCGTCACAGAAGGCATTGGTAGGTATGACAAGTGGGCACCTTGCTAACCTGTGTCCCATTCTAAGAAAGAGGCAAAGGCCATGATCCCATTCCTAAAAATCAAACAGCAAAAGTCAGTTTCAAAAAGAGAGAAATTTTATGTACTTAAATTCAAGAGTCAACTTGTGACCAAATACCTGGACATTAAATCATATGTGGAAGTAAAGTAAAATATGGAAGGAGCTATTACCATAGAAAAGATTTTGAAATGGAGAAAAACAGAAAATAAAGATTGCTTGTTTGGGTCCTAATTGTTAGGTCCATAATTGGTATTTGTTAGCATCTCTGTGTGTTTCAGGGGCTCTGAAAATCTATACCTGGAGTTGTGAGGAGGGGTGGCATCAGGAGCAGCTGGGAGGGGCCCAGGGTGTTGGCAGTGTTCTGATTTTGGGTCTGGGTGGTAGTGACACAGTATGTTTGCTCATGAAAATTCATGGAGGGGCTGGGAAGGTGGCTCAGTGGTAGCGCGCTTGCCTTGCATGCTCGAGGCCCTGGGTTTGATTCCTCAGCACCACATAAGCAAAAAGAAAAAAAGCCGGAAGTGGCGCTGTGGCTCAAGTGGTAGAGCACTAGCCTTGAGCTGAAGAGCTGAGGGACAGCGCCCAGGCCCAGAGTTCAGGCCCCACAACCAGACAAAAAAAAAAAAAAAAGAAAATTCATGGAGCTATCCTTTTAGAATCTGGGAACTCTTCAGTGCATGTGTTATACGTACATCTCTAAAATGTTAACTTTTGAATACTCTTAATTATTGTATATATTAAGTCTTTTATATTAGCCATAGCTACAGCACACATGCAATTTCACATCATAAAAATGCTTCCACTGGTGTCGGTGGCTCACGCCTGTAATCCTAGTTACTCAGGAGGCTGAGATCTGAGGATCATGGTTCAAAGCCAGCCTGGGCAGCAAAGTCCATGAGACTCTTATCTCCAATTAACCACCAGAAAACCGGAAGTGGCACTGTGGCTCAAGTGGTAGAGCACTTGCCTTGAGTTGAAGAGCTGAGGGACTGTCTAGGCCCAGAGTTCAAGCCCCATACAACAGACAAAAAATAAAAAAGTAAATAAAAAGCTTCCTTAGTTTCTCTGAACTTCAGCCTCTTCATTTGGAAATGGGGTCAAAGTCTCCTAAAATGTCATGTTATTGAGAAGATTAAATATATTTCAAGTGCCTGGCAGCTAAAATTAAAAAAAGTTAACTACTACCAGTAATTTATGAATTTACCAGACACTTGCCTGCTCTTCATATTCACATTACAACTCTTTCAAAGTCCAGTTTAAGGAGACAGGCCTGGAGGCACACACCTGTAATCACCTGTAACCCCAGCACTTGGGAGGTAGAAGCAGAAGGATTATGAGTTGGAAGTCAATCTGGGCAACACAGACCCTCTCTCAAAAAAGACCTAAAGGAACTTTGGTGCAAAGACATCACTAGTAATGATATGACACTGTCTCCATTCTTATCTTTTAGCCACCTTTATTTTATTTTATTTTTTTGGTTGGTCATGGGTCTTGAAGTCTGGGCCTGGGCACTGTTCCTCAGATCTTCAGCTCAAGACTAGCACTCTACCACTTGAGCCACTACACCACTTTCAGTTTTCTGGTGGTTAATTGGAGATCAGAGTCTCATGGACTTTCTTGCCTGGGCTGGCCTTGAATCATGATCCTCAGATGTCAGCCTCCTGAGTAGCTAGGATTACAGGTGTGAGCCACCGGTGCCCAGCTACCACATTTATTCTTTCATGATCAGTTGTTGTTTTGATACTGGGGTTTGAACTCAGGGCCTCAAACTTCCTAAGTAGGAACTCTATCACTTGAGCCACTCCACTGGTCCCTTTTTTCTTTTTTTGTCGGTCGTGGGGCTTGAACTCTGGGCTTGGGCACTGTCCTTGTGCTCTTCAGCTCAAGCCAAGTGCTCTACCACTTGAGCCACAGCACCACTTCCAGTTTCTAGTGGTTTATTGGAGATAAGAGTCTTACAGACTTTCCTGCCCGGGCTGGCTTTGAACCGTGATCCTCAGATCTCAGCCTCCTGAGTAGCTAGGATTACAGGCTGAGCCACCGGTGTCCAGTGCATTGGTTATTTTTGTTTGTTTGTTTTTTGGGTCCAGTCGTGGGACCTGAACTCTGGGCCTGGGCGCTGTCCCTCAGCTCTTCAGCTCAAGGCTAGTGCTCTACCACTTGAGCCACAGCGCCACTTCCGGCTTTTTTCTTTTTGCTTATGTGGTGCTGAGGAATCGAACCCAGGGCCTCAGGCATGCAAGGCAAGCACTCTACCACTGAGCCACCTTCCCAGCCCCTGCATTGGTTATTTTTAAAGGAGGGTCTTGCTTTTCATCCAGACTGGCTTGGACTATGGTCCTCCTATTTGTGCTTCTCTTTGTTGTTAGGAGGATAAGTATAGGCCACTGAGCTCAGCCACTGTGCTTCCCCTGCAGCTTGGGATGACAGCGCATGCACCATTACACCCAGCCTTTTGTGGGCTGGCCTGGAACTGAGATCCTCTCAATCTCAGCCTCCCACCTGCTGGGCTGACGGGAAAAGGGTAGCATGTGTATGCCTAGGCTGTCTCTGAACTGCGACCCTCCTGATCTCAGCTTCCCAAGTAGAAGGTTTTTGTTTTGTTTTTGGAGTAGCATTTTGATACTTTTTCCTGGGCTGGATTCAAACTTAAGATTCTCTGCCTCCTTGAGTAGCTGGGATTACAGTGATGTGTTACCATGTTTTATTTATTTTTTGCCAGTCCTGGGGCTTGAACTCAGGGCCTGGGCACTGCCCCTGAGCTTTTTTTTTTTTGTTGGCCGCGGGGCTTGAACTCTGGGCTTGGGTGCTGTCCCTCAGCTCTTAGCTCAAGGCAAGCGCTCTACCACTTGAACCACAGCGCCACTTCCGGTTTCTAGTGGTTTACTGGAGATAAGAGTCTCACAGACTTTCCTGCCTGGGCTGGCTTTGAACCATGATCCTCAGATCTCAGCCTCCTGAGTGGCTAGGATTACAGGCGTGAGCCACTGGCACCTGGCCCTGAGCTTCTTTTGCTCAAGGCTAGCACTCTATCACTTAAACCACAGTGCCACTTCTGGCTTTTTCTGTGTATGTGGTACTGTGGAATAGAACCCAAGGCTTCATATATGCTAGGCAAGCACTCTACCACTAAGCCATCTTCCCAGCCCACATGTTTGACTCTTAATAGCTCTTTACATAAGAGCCCTGCAAATATTTTTGTCTGCTTCAACTTTTCCATTAAACTAGCTTTAACATATGTGCTAATGATCAATTTATTTTTACAGCTCTAACAACAAGTAGCTACTTTCCACTTTTCTTCTTTACAGATGCATACATTGCTTATTGTGTGTGTGCTCGCACGCGCGCGTGCCAGTCCTGGGGCTTGAACTCAGGGTTTCTCACCCCTCAAATGTCCTCATTTTACCTGGATGATGGCAGTTTCCAGAAAGCCCAGGGATAAGCAGAGACAAAGGCAGCCCTTCTTATTTGTTCAGACACAGGTCCTGTGCTGAAGGCTTACCTGAAGTTCTGTGCTGCATCCAGGGGCAAAGTTGCTATGGAACTGAAATGAAAATGCAGAAAAAACATTATGACAAAAAAAAGTGAGGAAGGCCGTATAGAAAGCAATCCAAGGAGGGATAACAACTTTCCTCTCTTGGGACATCTGAATGAATGGTTTCTAATCCATGTGCCAATTTTCTTCTTCACAACAGTGTCCCCTTCTCCCCCCCCCCCCCCCCCGCCCCCGCCCCAGGCTGGACAGCCTCAGAACTCTGATGTCTCCCCCTCTCTGTGAAAGAGCTGATCTAAGCTTGTGTTCACCACTCTCGTGTCCCCTACCTTGGATAGGCCTAGTGACAGATGGGAGGGTTCTGGGTCCAGGGAGCGTCATTCATTCACTAGCCCCACCCCACGTTCTTGCTGTTTGGATTCTGGGTAGAAAGGCAGTGGAATGGTCTCCACCATTTTATCTCTCTGGATCCAAGTGAAAGAGCCCCACAGCAGTAGATAATGTCAGGATGAATGGCTAACCAAGCGTCTGTGGTGAGTCTTAAGTTCAAGGATGGTTTTAAGCTCTTGGTACAGAGCTTGGTAATCAGGTAACTCTAGATGGCCACATCCTCACAAAGGTAAAAGTAGGCTTCATTCTGCTTAAAGCAACTGAACAGTTTCCCTCCAGGTACAGAATGACAGTTGTACTTAACATTCTCTCTTTTTTTTCTGTCGATCGTGGGGCTTGAACTCAGGTCCTGGGTGCTGTCCCTGAGCTTTATCACTCAGGCTAGCACTCTACCACTTTGAACCACAGCACTACTTCTGGTTTTCTGGGAGTTAATTGGAGATGGAAGTCTTATGGACTTTCCTGTCTGGGCTGGCTTCAAACTGTGATCATCAGATCTCAGCCTCTAGTTAATAGGATTACAGGCTTCAGCCACTGGTACTTAGTTTAATTTGCAGAGAATTTGAATCTCTTTTTTTTTTCTTTTTGTCAGTCATGGGGCCTGAACTCTGGGCCTGAGAACTGACCCTCAGCTCTTCAGCTCAAGGCTAGCACTCTACCACTTAAGCCACAGCGCCACTTTCGGCTTTTTCTGCTTACATGGTGCTGAGGAATGGAACCCAGGGCCTCAGGCATGCAAGGCAAGCATCCTACCACTGAACCACCTTCCCAGCCCCTTGAATCTCTTTCATGCTGTTATTATTCTATTAAGTAAACTCAGGGAGGACACTTACTTTGTCGGTTATTGGTCATTGGTTTGCTAATAGCCACACATCCACTAAGGCCGTTACATTTGGTACTGCTGGACTGGGCCAGGTTGGGTTATTTTATTAGAGCAGTGGTGCTCAGCAGCAATAATGCCACTCCTGGGAGCTGGGGGAGTCCTGGAAAATGGGGGATTCTTTTGGCTCTCATAAACCAGACAACCGTAACTCAGGGAAGTCTTACAAAGAACACTGAATCAATGTCCCATGGAACCTTAAAACTACTTCTGTAAGTATGTGGAAGTATTTTGTCAATACCGGCTAATTGTGAAACACTAAAAGAGAAATTATAGAAAAAGCTTAATGTTATTTAGGAAGGTTTGTTACACACAAAGAAGATGAATGGGTTTAAGAGATCATGAAACTTTTAACTATTCACTGTGTGCATTCTGCTATCTGAAGTATTATCAGATTTCCAACCACATATTTAGATGACAGAGCTTAAAACCCCAAAACCAGTTTCAGATATACAACAGGTAGTTTAAGACTTTTTTTGTGTATGTGTACTGGTCACAAGGCTTGAACTCAGAGCCTGGGTGCCGTCCCTGAGCATTTTTTTTTTTTTTTGTCGGTTGTGGGGCTTGAACTCTGGGCCTGGGCTCTGTCCTTGTGCTCTTTAGCTCAAGGTAAGTGCTCTACCACTTGAGCCACAGCAGCACTTCCAGTTTTCTAGTGGTTTTATTGGAGATAAGAGTCTCAGGGCCTTTCCTGCCCAGGCTGGCTTTGAATTGTGATCCTCAGATCTCAGCCTCCGGAGTAGCTAGGATTACAGGCCTGAGCCACCGGTGCTTGGCTTCCCTGAGCTTTTTTGCTCAAGGCTATTGTTCCACCAGTGGAGCCACAGCTCTACTTCCAACTTTTTTGTTGATAAGCTGGAGATAAGAATTGCATAGATGGGGCTGGGAAGGTTGCTCAGTGGTAGAGCGCTTGCCTTGCATGCCTGAGGCCCTGGGTTCGATTCCTCAGCACCACATAAGCAGAAAAAGCCGGAAGTGGCACTATGGCTCAAGTGGTAGAATGCTAGCCTTGAGCTGAAGAGCCAAGGGACAGCACCCAGGCCCAGAGTTCAGGCCCCCACAACCGGCAAAAAAAAAAAAAAGAATTGCATAGACTTTCCTGCCTGGGTTGGCTCTGAACTACTAAATCAGATCTCAGCCTCCTGGGTAGCTAGGATTATTGGTATGAGCCACTGGTGCCTGGCTAGTTTAAGACTCATTTTAACAAACTAAGAACCAAACACAATTGAATTAGTGGAACCCTTGGAAGAAAGAGGTCTCACTGGCCTTAACTTGGACAGGGTATTTTAATTGTCCTTCTTGTCATGTTATCTATCTATCTATCTATCTATCTATCTAGATATAGACATAAATTACATATAGATGTAAATTACATATATCTACCTATATATAGAGAGATAGACACAAATTTTTTTTTCTGGTCCTGAGACTTGAACTCAGGCCTGGGGCGCTGTCCCTGAGCCTCTTTGTGCTCAAGACTAGCACTCTACCACTTGATCCACAACATCACTTCCAACTTTTTCTGAGTAATTTACTGGAGATAAGAGTCTCGTGGAGCCAGCACCAGCACCGGCAGCTCACACTTGTAATCCTATTTACTCAGGAGGCTGAGATCTGAGGATTGAAGTTCAAAGTCAGCCTGGGCAGGAAAGTCTCCAATTAACCACCAGAAAACTGGCAGTGGCACTGCTCAAGTGGTAGAACACTTGTCTTGAGCTGAAGAGCTGAGGGACAACATCCAGGCTTAGAGTTCAAGCCCCATGACCCCTCCTCCCCCCCAAAAAAAAGTGTCTCATGGACTTTTCTGCCCTGGCTGTCTTTGAACCAAGATCCTCAGATCTCAGCCTCCTAAGTACCTAGGATTACAGGCGTGAGCCATTGGTACCCAGCATATTTTCATTTTTTAAGTTTCTGTGGCACAGTGAGAACTAATTCTGTCCCCAGAGGCCTACCATAATACCCTTATTTTTTTTCCCTAAACGTCTCTCTACTCCTGAGCACCTGCCAGCTGTAGTTCTGAATTCTGAGACTGAAATGAAGCCCAAGGATGTGGAGAGATTTCATGATCCAAGACTGGTGTCCAGTGACTCTCCACCCTTCCTGGCATTCCTGTCAAGCCGTGTGAGCTGCTCCAATGGAGTCCAGGCACTTCCTGTCAAACCCTGTGAACTGCTCCAATGAGAGTCCAGGCACTTCCTGTCAAACCCTGTGAGCTGCTCCAATGGGAGTCCAGGCACTTGCAAGGTGTTTACAGGTCCTCATCTCTTCCACTGTGTCCCTCTTTAGTGAATGCTAGCATACTTCTTTTGCATCCCTCTGTCAACCTGGACCTCTGTTCTTTCTTTCATGTGTTCGTGTTGGGTGTGTGGGTTCTTTTTAGGTTTTTTAGGGTTTTACTGTGTAGTAAACTTGAGCTCCTCATGCCTTCTCCTCCTTAGTGCTGGGATTATAGGTGTGTACCATCACGCCTGGCTTCTCTCCTGATTTCCTTATAAGATGGCTTCAGGACTTATTTTCTTAGATTTTAATTAATGATACTTGTAAAATCAAAGATGCTACTACTGTATTCTGTTTTCGGTGGAAGCCACCCAGAAAATCCCAATGCTAGACTTTCTAGCATTTTGGATTTCAGACTTCTAGATCAGGGATGCGCAGCTTCTAGATGTGGTTATAAATTATTTTCTTTCCTTTGTGCATCAATCTGAGGGCACTTTTCTGCTTTCTGGAGGTTCTTTGTGTTGGAAGCTATTTTGGGTCATGAGAACAACTATCATTGAGGAGTCCGTGCTAGTGTGAAGCTCAGTCGTGCTCTAAGCAACACTGGGCAAGGTGGTCATGAGTTGATGGCTCCAGTCACGTACCTGTCCCGGCACAGGGAGATGTAGAGCAGCAGCAGCGGCCCGGCCCCCACGATGGTGGCAAGGGAGGACCTCATCCAGGAGCTGAGCTGGCAGAAGTTGCAGTAGTGCACGACAGCCACCAGCACGGCAGAGCCAGTGAACATGGTGAACTGCAAGAGGCAGCAGCAGTCAGTCCGTGCCCTCCTCCCTGGGCCTGCCCCACCTCCACCTGGGCTGACCATCCTAAACCAGAGCACCTGCTCACCCACCGCTTGTGTTTAAGATCTAACATCGCGGCACCACAGAGCGGTCCTAGCGTGTGCAGTGGTTCTGATACCTGGTGAGTCAGCAGTTTCAAGGACAGAGCACACATTTTTAGGCCCATAACTCAGTGCTTTAAGTTACAAGCTTCCTTGGAGGCCATTCACTGGGGACCTACCACTGCCAGTTCAGTTACTTCCCAAATGCTCCTCCAGGCGCCTGCCACAAGCTTGCTGAGATTTGTGTTATACTATCAAACACAGTCAAGCTCATCACGTTACAATGACTCACTTACTTCTTATGGTATTTAACTCAACAGCTTTTTCCCTAAACAGTGGCAGCTAATCCAGGGCAAATCTTACTTCTGCAAACTTGCACATTATCTTGTTTGGAAACATGGGCAGATGCTGCTTTGTAAAGCATGAAAGGAAAATACAAATGCTCCTCAACTTACCCCAGGTTACATTCTGGTAAGTCTATCGCCAACGGAGACGCTGAAGCTAGGGCTACAGCCCAGTGGCAGAGCACTTCCCTACCACGCACAAAATCCTGAACTTTACCCCTACTACCTTGAGAAAAAGGTGACAAATGGGAATGATAATAAATAAAAAATGCTGGGTGCTAGTGGCTCATGCCTGTAATCCTAGCTACTCAGGAGGCTGAGATCTGAGGATCACAGTTGGAAGCCAGCCTAGGCAGAAAGGTCCCCATGAGACTCTAACCTCTAATTAACCACTCAAAAACCAGACATGGAGCAGTGCCTCAAGGTGGTAGGGCACTAGACTTGAGCAAAAAAGCTCAGGGATGGGCTGGGAAGGTGGTTCAGTGGCAGAGCGCTTGCCTTGAATGCATGAGGCCCTGGGTTCAATTCCTCAGCACCACATAAGCAAAAAGAAAAAAGCCGGAAGTGGCTCTGTGGCTCAAGTGGTAGAGCGCTAGCCTT